ATGCCAGTTCCTCTGCCCCGAGTGCGTGTCGGGGACCTGTGACCCGGTGTCGGGAGAGTGTGTGTGCCAGGAGGGGTACTGGGGAGCCAGGTAACGCCGGGAGCGGGGGGGCTGGGGTCCTGCTCTCCCCAGGGACCACGTTTCTACTCCTTTCCTCTCTCTTCCAGCTGCAACGACACCTGCCCCGAGGGGTATTTTGGAGTGAACTGCTCTTCACCCTGCCAGTGCTCCCGGGGGACCTGCCACCCTGCTCGAGGGGACTGCGTGTTGAGTAAGACATGTTGAGTAAGGGGGGGTTGGTCTCTTCTCAGTAGTAACTGAGATAGTAGAGACAGGACGAGAGAGAGGCTTCAAGTTATGCCAGGGGAGGTTTAGGTTGGATGTTAGGAAAAACTTCTTTACAGAGAGGGTTTCTCAGCACTGCCCACCCCTGAATGTGTTCAAAAATCCTATAGATCCAGTGCTTAGGGAAATGTTTTAGCAGGGGGCTGGTAGAGCTGGGACTGTAATGCGCTTGCTGGGGATGGGGTGCTGGGAGGCTGTGATACAGCCCCAGGTCCTACCTGGTGCCTCCTGGCCTCACTGCAGGTCACCAGCTCCCGTGGTCTCCACGTGGGGTGGCTCTGTGGGCTCAGCAGCTGCAGGATACACTGGGCTCAACCCACCTTCTTGCACAGGTTTTAAAGACCATGGGACCCTTGCAGCTGCCATCCTTGTCCCTCTCCTGCTGCTGCTGCTCTGCATTGCCTGCTGTTGCTGTGGAGCTGGCCCAGCAGACGCAAGAGACAGGTGGGTTTTTTTATATATATTTTGCAACCTTTGCTGCAAAACCCCATCTCCCATGTCCCTTCATGCCCATGTCCCCTGTGCAGAGCGGCCGTGCCTGATGATGGTGTCCTGGCCAGGATGAAGCACCACGTGCAGGGGGTGCTGGCAAACCTCAGTGCCATGATGCCTTGCTTTTCCCTGGGTGGCTACAAACTTCCCAAAGTCACAGGTAAAACAAAGCAGCACTGGTGAAAGCCCTTCCAGGCTATCACCTCCACCCTGTGCTCTCTGTATTGTCACCATTTTGGGGGGGGTGGGAGAGGGTGGGGAACCTGTGCCCATCCTCACCCTGTTGCACATCTCAGGGCAGGGGTTGCCCTCCCACCCCAGCCCTGAGCACTGTGGGGTGCCGGGACCTCCCACCCCGCCCCCGCCCCGCCGGTACCTTCGGGGACGGATGCCAGTTCCTCTGCCCCGAGTGCGTGTCGGGGACCTGTGACCCGGTGTCGGGAGAGTGTGTGTGCCAGGAGGGGTACTGGGGAGCCAGGTAACGCCGGGAGCGGGGGGGCTGGGGTCCTGCTCTCCCCAGGGACCACGTTTCTACTCCTTTCCTCTCTCTTCCAGCTGCAACGACACCTGCCCCGAGGGGTATTTTGGAGTGAACTGCTCTTCACCCTGCCAGTGTTCCCGGGGGACCTGCCACCCTGCTCGAGGGGACTGCGTGTTGAGTAAGACATGTTGAGTAAGGGGGGGTTGGTCTCTTCTCAGTAGTAACTGAGATAGTAGAGACAGGACGAGAGAGAGGCTTCAAGTTATGCCAGGGGAGGTTTAGGTTGGATGTTAGGAAAAACTTCTTTACAGAGAGGGTTTCTCAGCACTGCCCACCCCTGAATGTGTTCAAAAATCCTATAGATCCAGTGCTTAGGGAAATGTTTTAGCAGGGGGCTGGTAGAGCTGGGACTGTAATGTGCTTGCTGGGGATGGGGTGCTGGGAGGCTGTGATACAGCCCCAGGTCCTACCTGGTGCCTCCTGGCCTCACTGCAGGTCACCAGCTCCCGTGGTCTCCACGTGGGGTGGCTCTGTGGGCTCAGCAGCTGCAGGATACACTGGGCTCAACCCACCTTCTTGCACAGGTTTTAAAGACCATGGGACCCTTGCAGCTGCCATCCTTGTCCCTCTCCTGCTGCTGCTGCTCTGCATTGCCTGCTGTTGCTGTGGAGCTGGCCCAGCAGACGCAAGAGACAGGTGGGTTTTTTTATATATATTTTGCAACCTTTGCTGCAAAACCCCATCTCCCATGTCCCTTCATGCCCATGTCCCCTGTGCAGAGCGGCCGTGCCTGATGATGGTGTCCTGGCCAGGATGAAGCACCACGTGCAGGGGGTGCTGGCAAACCTCAGTGCCATGATGCCTTGCTTTTCCCTGGGTGGCTACAAACTTCCCAAAGTCACAGGTAAAACAAAGCAGCACTGGTGAAAGCCCTTCCAGGCTATCACCTCCACCCTGTGCTCTCTGTATTGTCACCATTTTGGGGGGGGTGGGAGAGGGTGGGGAACCTGTGCCCATCCTCACCCTGTTGCACATCTCAGGGCAGGGGTTGCCCTCCCACCCCAGCCCTGAGCACTGTGGGGTGCCTGAGCCCAGCTGAGTGTCTTTTCCTCCCCAGTTTCCCACCACGACACAGAACTCCCCTTCACCCCCAGCTTCATCGAGCCGCCGTCGGCCGCCTGGGTCTCAGACAGCTCCTTCTCCTCCTTCGACACTGACAACGAGGGACCCGAGTACTCTGTCCCTCCCAGAGAAGGTGACATCCATGTCTGCCCTCCCCAGTCACCCACAGGTCCATCCTGTCCTATTACCAACCTTGGGTGTCCCAGGGCTGGGTGCTGGGCACAGGCAGCAATTGTTTTCCTTCCCTTGTTTTCCTGCCTGCAAGGACACACCAGGGCCCTGATGTGATGGGACGTGCCCAGTGTGGGCAGCCCCATTTCACAACCTCCTCCCAGAAAAACACTCCCAGGGACAGTCCTGTTGCGTCACCGCCCGTCCCGATGTCCCCGGGCCTGTCCCTGAAGCAGGGGGGTAGCTCTGCCAGCCCTAATCCTGTCCCTTTCTCCTGCAGGAGTCCCACTGCTGGGGGGTGCTGAGCTGCACGAGGGGGTGTCCCCCCCTGGGGAGGCACTCCCAGACCCTTCTGCCTTCAACTCCGAGGACGTCTCGCTGCCCTTCGACATCCCCCGCACCTCCAGCATCGCCAAGGCCAAGCGTCCCTCCGTGTCCTTCGCTGAGGGGACCAAATTCGGGGCAGTGGAGACCCCCAGCCCCAGTCGGAAGCCCAAAACCCCATGGGGCCCATCCAAGCTGTCCCAGCCCCTGGGGGACGCAGCGGCCGAGCTCCCCCCTGAACGGCCAGCCCGTGATTGCTACGAGA